TCGGCGGCCTCTCGGGGCTGCGGCCCGCGCTGCCCTCCCCCGCCGCTCTGGGCCTCTCCAAAACGAAACCAAAAGTACCAGCTCAAAATACGCTGGGGCTGCACCCAGCGGGTGTTTCTGGGCTCGCTTTGCTGTTAGAGTGTTGGAAATGTCCTTGAGCTCTTCCCAGCGCAGGTCTGCCGCTCTCTGAGGGCTCAGCGCTGCAAGCCGGTACTGAGGGAGATGGCCTGCCTGCGGGAGCTCTGGGCTGCTCCCGGAGAGGCTCCATCGATTTCCATTCGGTGAAATAGTGGACTGGCTGGGTTGGCCTCACTACGGTGCTCAGAGAAAAATTGCCAGAGCAGGCCAAGAAGCCGGGCATACGGAAGAATCTCAGTGCTAGAGGACAGTGGTTTGGGAGACGAGAGATCCACAGGCGCAGGCTTGGAGATCAGCACTTTGAGTTGTGCTTTGCATCCTGACAATCCCAGTGCAGAGATGACTGAGGTGCCCTTTGGTGTGGCAGCTCTGCTGCTCAGCAGTACATGATAGTCGTGCACAAAACTATTAAGTCCAAATGTAAGTCCAAGATGAATCTGAATCATGTTGTGGTTTCTGTGGCCAAACCTTGTGAATTGACTTTGGGGGAGAGGGGAGGACAGTTTATATTCAAGGACTACCTCTTTATGACTTTTTAGAGTGGTGCATGGGCTGCACTCAGAAGAAGCATTGAGACAGTACCCAGTGAAGGGAGGGGTGATAACCGAGTTGCCTGAACAGTCTCGTATCTGGTGTAGGTTAACTGTGGTAGAATCATGTTCTTAAATTATGTATCACATTGTTTCAGTTCCTTCATAAAATAGTTGATGGCATATGTGGCCGTGCGTATCCTCGATACCAGGATTATGGCAGTATTTGGAGCTTGTCGGAGTGGATGGAGGTTTTAGAAGAAACAATGATGTATTTCAAAACTGCGGTTGGCAAAAACATATCTGATGAAGAGGTAAGGGCTCATCCCTGATTGAGCTTGACTTTGAGAGATCATACTGGAGTGATGAGTCTGGTAGTTTATTTAGTACTAAAGTATTTTTATAGTGTAGCATTTGAATAGTAGCAAACTAAGCCTAAATAGCTAGAAGGTTAGCAGCATTTTAGAGATACACTGAGAAGACTTTTAAAAGAAAAAGTGAAATTGGACACTGATTTTTTTTTTCTTTTTTAAAAAATAGAACTGGATAATACTTACTTGCTAAAGTACTGTTTTAGTCACTTAAATTGATCTCTTAAGTACCACCAAATTAAATCTGTTTACGTTAAAATACATAACCTGTCATTACTGTTCATTAGCAATAAAAACAATTCATGCTCTTGTTTGGCTTCCTTTGTTCATTACTACTGCAGTGAAGTGTTTTAAAATATTGACTGTATGTAAATAAAAAAAAATCTAGACTCGTGAATGGATGACCATGTGGGACAGGGACTATAATTCAGGCATTCCAATATGTATAAACTTTGCAAAAACTTGTTCCATTCTCATCTTTTGCCCATTGCTCGTATTTTGACTACCTGCTAGTAGCTAGATCAAAGAAAGATACTTGTGTAACCATAGGAAAGTCTGTACATCAATATATCTGTTTCAGCTAAACTAATGTATTTTGTCTCAACTCTGATGTTCAGAAACTTTCAGAGCTAAACCTGTGTTGTTTTTGTGTGTGGCTTTTTTTGTTTTGATTTTAAGGTGGCGTCTAAGGCGGCCAATAAAGCCTCCATCCTCTGTTCTCTTTAATTTAAATTACAAGAAAATTGTTTTTTTTTTTCATACTGGTAAATACTGACTCTAACTATCAAACACAGAGAGCAGCCACTAAGGGCAGTGTAAGAAAAATGAGAGTCTAGTATAACAGCTATCTGGGTAGAAGCCTGGATATGTACAGAGCACAGCTATTACAGGTGGTACGTGTTATTTCTGTGGTTCATAGTTTAAGCAATCACAATTTTTATTTTTGTAGGCTGCTCAGCAGATAAATGAGTTAAATTCAAACTATCAAGAAGCAATCACAAAATGTCTAAAAGGCAGAAAGGAAGAAATCAGGAATGCTCTAGTGGAAAGAGTAAACGCCATCTCTTCTGCCCAGCTGCAGGATTTTGACTGGCAGTTAAAGGTGAGAGTATTGCCGTAATGTTTGAAAGAAGTGTTCCACAACACAGAAGTAACTATTGATATAGTCCCCTTAGGCCTGCTCATTCTGGAGCATGGTTCAATTTTTATAGGTATCAGAAAAACACATTCATCATAACACATGAAAGACTTGCCAGAAATTGTATAAACTGTAAAACTAAAATTCTTCTTTCTTTTTTCTTTTTTTTTTTTTCCCCCTCCTCCTTTCTTTTAAGGCTGCAATACCTATCTCTTTCCTAAAAGAGATTGAGCGTTATTCAGGAACACCTGAAAGTTTCATATGCTGTTATGATTTTGAAACCTGAATGGACAGTATTTTTACTCAAAGGAAGAAGAAATATTTACTTAATTTTAAGAGGAGTATACTGATTCAGGATGTGTTTCCCTGACTCTTTTCAAATTTTTGGATTCCTGCAATAAACAATTATTTAATAATTGGTTTAAAATAATTTATCTTTAGACTTATTTTGATAATAAGCCAATGATAACTGTATTGCCTAAAGTTGGATGGTGCTTTGGGGTTACAAAGACACAGCTGCTTTGAATTAAGCTCTATCAGAGACTTAAAATAAACAGTATAACTAATGTTGTTTAGTTAGTCCATGGGAGCTGTTCGGCAGATTTGTAGAGCTTTAAATAGTTTGCCGTTTCAAAAAGTGTTAAATAATTTGTGCAGCAAACAGCTTTGGAAATCAAAGAGCAATGCCTTGAGCTGGTTGTGATTTTTTTTTTTTGCTTACCATAGTTGAATCCTACCAAAGACATTGTCTCTCTTCTGCTGTACCACATTCTGCTCTCTAAAAAAATAAGATAGGTGGGTACAATACTGACCTACAGTATTATCAACTGATCTTGGATTTTAATATATTTTAAAAGCCTTATTTATACTAGAGTGAGTATAGTAGTAAACAAAAAGGAAAGCACAATTGGTATGTAATACTCTTCATCAGTGATTGTCAAATAGGATATCTGACAAACAGTGTTTGATCAGCTGTAGAGAGAGTTGAAAAATGCACAAAGGTGTCCTCTTTCTCCCAACTGCCCCCTTCTATAAGACCCTTCTTACTTGTTGATTACGATAAGTGTTTGAATACAGTGACTTCAGAATTCATATACTTCACTTTTAAAGAGCCATGATCAAATGTATCCTTTCTTTTCACCTAGAATACAAAAATGTAGCAGCCCAGTTAATTTTAGCAAATTGTTTTGACAAATGTATTGCTATGAAGAGGGGTTTCAGTATTTCAATATATTGTTGGTATTAAGAAACAAACAAAAAGCCCAACAACCGGGGGGGGGAAGCAAACCCCAAAACTGCAGAGATGACTTGTGAGAAGTTAGTTTTGTCATGTTGACGTTTGTTTGGGTAGTACACTTTCAATATAAAGTGCAGATGTGATGCTATGAAAGACAAAACTTAATGGCTCTACCTTATGCGTTGTTGTTGTTGTTGTTTCATCAATCTGCATAGCTTGCTCTCTCCAGTGATAAGATCTCCATGCTGCAAATGCCACTTCTTAATCTTGATTTGGATGTGAGAGAAAATGGTGAAATTAAACCAATTTCTATAGAGATGAATAAGGAAGAGTTGCAGAACCTAATAAATGCACTGGAAGCAGCTAATAAGGTAGCTTTTACTGATATCATCCGTTGTTCCTGACTTCTCATGTACTGAGTTTATTTTAACTGAAATTGTTTGTTCAGGGTATCTTGCTGAAAATCCCAAGTAAATCATTCACTGGCAAAATGACTATAGAGTTCCAGAAAGCCTTACATAAGGCAGACTGTCTTGGATAGACTTTAGGGGTTTTTTAGCACAGGTTAGTCTAGAATTTTTTAAAAATGTAATTAAAATCCTGATAAGCATAACAGCCTGTTCAGACCACTATTAAAAAATCTTGTGAGAATAGGAGGAGAAATGACAAAGTGTCAGATGAGAGTTGATTTTGAAAGATTGGAGAGAAATCCAGTGTTCCCCCCAGCGTCACAAAATGTCAGTGGCTGGGAATGTATATGGGAGAGTTGTCTGGTTCAAATTGAGTGCTTTAATTTCCATGGCATAGTAAATCAGGAAGAAAGTTACAAAGATTTCAATACAGTACACAAGAAGAAAATTTCGAGTGAAACTTTATTTGGAGTGTCTCAGATTTCTTAATAGAAAAGACTAAGGGAAGTGAGGATTTGAAGAAAAATTGTTAGGGGAAGAAGTGTCATCTGACTTGCACCCTGGTGATAACTGTGAATCCTGGAGTCCCTCCTTGTTCCCTTTAATTTCAGTATTAATTCTGGCTCTGTTATGAAGGAAAGTAGTTTTTTTTTAAATCTGAAAATGTCTTAAATATTTATTAAGTCTGTTATCTGAGAGATGGAATTCTCTTGACGTCTTGCAGAATGGATCTGAAAGTGTTGTATCACATGTTTTTGAAGTTAGCAGCTTCTAGTTACTTCATAACATTTAGCAAGTAAGGGGTTTCTTTAGATGTTTTATACAATGTTATGCTATGGCTGGAATCTGTAGACTAACGTTTAGAAAAAATCTTCGTCAGTATATAACAACTGAAAATAATAGTTTTGTAGCTCATAGAGTTAAATACGAAGTTATAATCGTGCTGTCAATATTTTGAGTTACAAAAGACACTAAGATTATGTCTGCCAGTTGCTTTAATGAGGCTGATGTGAGACCTCTGAATAACTACACAGTTCCCAGTAAGATAAATCCAGATACAGGTGGTATTCTCGTGAAATGAGAGCCCTTAACAGCTTTCTTTCCCCTGTTTTTTTAACTCCAAAACTAAATAAACACAGTAGCTTGTCATGAGCTCTACACTATGCAAACAAGGATTCTTCCGGGCAGACTTCAGTTTCCACATGCCTTTTGTTCAGCTTGAAGGTCTGTATGGAAGCTGTGGGATGTTGTCATCTCCTTAGTTAGTTTTATGCGTGCACAAGGAGGAATTCACTCTAGAAATGGTCCCTCGGTTCTGCTTTGTGCTGAAGGAATCTCACGGGACCTGGAAAATACCATTCTACTTTTTGATTACAGGGAGCTGAGGAATGGTTTGCGTAAATACTGAAGAAAGTTATTGGAAGTGATAGTTGTGTGAGGTTGTCAAAGAGAGCTGAGAGAGGGATGGTGTATTTTCCAGAGGAAAGACATGTTTATACAGTTGCATGTTATACTGTAACAGAAAGCAAAAAGCTGTTTTTCCTAGACTGGAAACCTAAGGGTTTTGGTCTCATCCAACCTTAATCTCATTCCTTTTCTCCTTTTTGAAGGTTGTCTTGCAACTGAAATGATGGAATTCAGATCATCGACAGTATCTGCTGCCAATGGCTCCCCAATTGACTTGGGGGGGG